ACACACACATGAGAAAGTGGTTATTGTGAAGCTATGACAGACCAGGCATGCTCGAACCAAGTGAAAGGAACAAAAACAAAACAAAAAATTGTAAAAAAAACAAGCAAATAAAAAGACGAAAAATCCCCAATTCAAAAACAAAAACAAAAAAGGAAAATAAACAACCAAAATGCAAACAAAGAAAAACATACGCATACACACAAAAAACAACAACAAACAATCGGACGGACAGATCAGCTTTAAAAAAATCGATACTGAAAGAAACTTGTGCATAATTACTGATTGCAGGTGATGTGGATTGCGTCAATTCAACGACAGTGGAGGTTGATCTGGACGCAGAGGAAACCCTCATACAGCTCCACAGCAGCACCTCAAGGCAGGTTTTTACGTATACAGTAGAAACTGTCTACAACGGCCCGCTACCCATCGTCGTGGAGAAGAGTGGCCGTCTTGGACAAGTGGTTGTCTTAAAATTGGGCACACCTCCGCCAAAAGAATGAAATCGAAACAAACAGCAGTTTCCCACTGATTTTAGCAATTTCAAAAAATCGATGTCGTTTTTTTGGCTCAACATCTTTGTCTATTTAAAAGGGGGGGTTTAAAGATGACGATTTTGGGTCAATTTATGGTTTCTGAACTTTTTATGTATTGTAATACTTCAACCACTTGTAACTCTAAAAGATGCATATTCTTTGTGTTACAATCAACATCTTTCAGATTTTGTCCTTTTATTTTATCTGTTAGGTAACAAAATGTCGTTTTTTCTCAAAACTTCAATTTTTGATAGTTTTCCTCATGTACTTTTTAATTTTCTATTTGATTCAAATAAAATTTTCATGGCTTGTTATTCGTACCATAACCTAACTTTGTACTGGTGGAAAAGCAAATCGAAGCGTTCATAAGTGAGTTGCATGGCTGATTATGTAATCGAATTTAGAGGCATGAAGGAGTAGGTCAGTTATCTATTACTAACTTTTTTTTATTCAAGATATCCAATATCCCAACTGTATAAATTTCGTGTAATGAGTGTAATCTAACAACGTAATTTGTTGTTAAATAAATATTCATTTAAAAAAATGTATCCTAATTGTTTATTTTCAATATGGGTGCCATTACCATGGTGACCGTAGACATAAACAAACAAAAAATCAAAGTTACACTTTAGAGATCTTTTCCTGTTATACCTCCTTGCTATAAGACTTTATCTAGAAAAAATAGTTACCGAGATAGGTTTATAAACCAGCCCCCCCCCCCCTTAAAAAACGCATTTCTCTCACTCTCTCTGGATTTTACAGGGAAAAAAGTTGATTAAAGGCACAATCAAGGGAAAATTTCAAGGGCTCCAAACTATGACGGCTCTTTTCTCGCTAATTTTAACTCTGATACAGAAATTCTTTTAAAATCGAAAGTAAGGCAGATGAATGAGCTCTAAGATAATACCTATAACGCTATATTACGAGCAAAGATTGACGAGCCTCTGATTCCACCACGTCGTGACACATGTAATGTTTTGTCCGGTTTCTTCCTTCAGTTGCACTCTTCGGTTCACAACGGGCTCTAGCGACAAGACTATTGACCTGAGTTTTCTTCCTGTTACCAATAACGCTACCGACGTGGATGAGGCCGAATTTGCTGTTGAATTTATGGACGGTGAGTCTATAGTTTTGACGCATAACAATTTGCATCCTGTTGGCACATGTTTATGTAACTTACAAATATCGGCGCCAAAATCAGACACTGGGAAAAAAGTTGGCCTATGTAGTGTGTGCGTGTGTGTGTGTGTGTGTGTGTGTGTGTGTGTGTGTGTGTGTGTGTTAGTGTGTGTTTGTGTGTGTATGTGTGTGGGTTTGTGTGTGTGTGTGTGTGTGTTTGTGTATGTGTTGAATATCTTTAAAAAAAAAAATAAATTCATCAGCACAATCAGTGCAGGAAAAGGGTTTGGGAATAATATGTACGAGATGGAATCTGACGAAAAAACCCTGAAAAACAGTCTCAACTTCGTGGAGATTTGACTAACCAGTGCTCTACCCTAGAATTACACAGTAGTTCTATCTGCTCAAAAGGCCTGTCTACTTTTAAAAAAAAAGAAATTTAACGTTAAAAATTTTGAGTTTCTCAACATGTCAAGCTTTTTGGAAAGCCAGTCTTAGAATAATATCTTGCTAACGACTCCGAATAATCTTACAATTTTGATAGAGCAGATAAAACACGTGAAATCCTGGCCTCATTGTCTTAGTAACTTTGTAATTCAAAGATAGCGGGAGGTTATTGAAAATGGATGCGAAATTTAACATAATTATGCTACCTTGTCTAACTGTATTCGATGTTGTATGCAATTTCACCAAGTTAAACTGTAACAAAGAAATATGTGTTACGACGTGGTGGAATCAGGCGATCGTCGAGCTTTGGATATGTGGTGTTATAGATATTATCGGAAAGCTTATTCATTTGCCTTGCTGTTAATGGAAAAAAAATATCCGTCTAGTTTGAATAGTGTTTTTCTAGCTTAAAAGTACAAGTTGTACCATGCTGGAACATTTTTACTTAACTTACAATTTGGCGCCAAAATCAGGAATTTTTAAAAAGGTAACTCTTTCCCGGCCGAGCCGTAGAAACACCTGCTTTAAGAAAAAGGGGGAAAAATCTCGCAAAAAACTAACAATCTCTACAACGCCCTGATGCTTGACTGAGTCGCGACGCCGTGGAATCAAGCATGGTTCAATTTTTGGGTATGCAAATTTATTGGTATCCTCTAAAAGCTTGCTTATTTGTCTTTTTTAACAATGAAAACAATGCATATCTCTCCAAAACAGCAGTCGTGAAATGTATCGATTGAAAGTACAATTAGAGAGAAAATCACCGCCAATGTTGGGTGACTTCTAAACTTGTATGGTTTCTTTGGAAACTGAAAAGTTTACAATTTGTGTACCTTTACTCAACATTTTTTCTGTAAAGTCCATACAAAAATGCTTTGTTTTGCTTTAAATAGATATAAAAGGTTTTGAGCAAAAAAAACCCCTTAAAAACAAACAAACAAAGGAAATATGAGAAAAAAATATACCAGTTTCTTAAATTCCATTGTTTTGACGAGCGCCTGATTTCACTATAATGCTTTTCTTTAATTTTTTGTTTTGTTTTGTTTTAAATTCATCACGATTTCTCTTTCTCTCAATAATTAATACGACGTTTCTCAACAGTAGCGAGGTGAATCAACTTCCATTTCGACGAATCCAGTCTGCTCACAGCCAAGTGACCTTGACCTATCAAAACCTGAAGGTCAACAAAGGGAGCAGAAGCAACATCCATGCCTGGGTGAGGGCCCGTGCTCTTTCGCCAGGTAGGACTATTGTTTCTTTTCATGGACGGCCCCTTTTACCTAAAGCTAAAAAGTGGCTGTGTACAATTTCATTTTGCCATGACAGGTTAAAGATTGTCTAGGACCTATTGAATGAGATACTGTATAATTTTAATATCTTTGAGTTAGTGCAGACCTAATGCTTTTACTTTCATTCTCTTTTTGTCACTTTATTTCCAGAACTTAATCAATTTTTAGCTAAAATTCAACTTTGTTCATCCTGCATTTGTGTTTGTTGCCCCTTTTGGCATTGTGACATAGATGCACGCACTTTGGTTACTATAGCTATTGTAGTCATTAGATCTAACATTATTTTTTTTGGTATGTTCCCGATGAAGCTCTTCAGCGTGCGAAACGTTGAACTTGTATACAATTTTCAAGAAATTTTACTAGTCTCAACCCCCTTTTTATTCCTTTCTGTTTACAATGATGATGATGATGATGATGATGATGATGATGATGATGATGATGATGATGATCAGTCCAGAAAAACTCCAGCACAACATTTGGCCAACATTTCAACAGTCCTGGTCACAATGGAACCTTCGATTTGCAGCTTCAGGGCGTTGAAATAGCCCAATATCCAACTAAAGAAAAACTTAACCAGAGAGAATCAATGTGGATTTGGAACTTGGGGTCTCACAAAATTCTCACTGGCCTTAACATCGACGATCCCCATTTTAAGGACCTAAAATTTACAACGTAACGTACTAATCACCCCTTATGTTCCTGCAACCCCCTCCCTTTGGCCTTGCCTTTCTGTTATACTCCTTACCTCCACGTACTAGTTCTCTCTCTCTCTCTCTCTCTCTCTCTCTCTCTCTCTCTCTCTCTCTCTCTGTCTCTCTCTCTCTTTCCCCCCCCTCTCTCTCTCTATCTCTCTCTCTCTCTCTCTCTCTCTCTCTCTCTCTCTCTCCACTTTTTGCCTTCGTGTTTCCCCTCCTCTAGCCTTTTCGACTCATTGATTGTGTTCACCGCACCCTTCCGTTATTATATTCCTTACCTCCATGCATATGTCCCCCCTCTCTCTCTCTCTCGCTCTCTCTCTCCCTCTCTCTCTCTCTCTCTCTCTCTCTCTCCCTCTTTTCCTTTCCCTCTCTCTGCCACCTCTGGCCCTAGTGTTTCTCCTTCTCTGGCCTTTCCGATTTGTGTTCACCGCACCCTTCTGTTATTATATTCCTTACTTCCACGCACCTTTCCACCCCCCCCCCCTCTCTCTCTCTCTACCACTTCTGGCTTCAGTGTTCCCTTCTCTCCGGCGATTTGTACTCACCGCTCCTTTAAATATTCAGACATTTATGTACGCACTTTAGTTTTTATAGCCCGTGTATATGATGATGATGATGAAGATATTTCCGATATTGTCCAAATCACAACAATACGTAATTTATAGTGAACACTTTGTTGCTGTGGCGTCATTACTCATTTATTTTTTTTCTCAAATACTATGTTCCTGATGAAGCCTTATTGGCGAAACGTTGAACTGAAAAAAATATATTTTCTGGAAATACAACAAGGTCTTAACTGTTTTAATACCTTCTTTATACAATGATGATGATGATTATTATTATTATTATTATGTTGATGGTGATACTGATGAGGATAACAACATTTTATGAATGGGAAAAGGGGGGAAGGGTTGTATTAATCACGACCTAAAATCTACCTACCTCACTTCCACCCTGTACAGATGTGTTCCCGAAACACCTGAGGGCGACCAGTGCCAAGTCATACTTGTGGATCTCTCTGGAGCAGCTCAGGTGATTGGTGTTTTTATGTGTGTCTGTCTGTTTTTCAGTCTGTCTGTCTGTCTGTCTGTCTGTCTATCTGTCTGTCTCTCTATCTCTTTCTCTCTCTTTGTCTTTCTCTTTTTGTCTCCTCTCACTTTCTATCTCTTTTTCTCTGTCTCTCTGTCCCTCCTTTTCTCTCTCTCGCCCCCCCTCTCTCTATCTCTCTCTCGCCCTCTCTATCCCAATCTCTATTATTTCAATCAAAACAACAACAACACCAACAACAGTAACAGCACCACCACTACCACAACCACTCTTACCACCACTCCCACCATTACCACTACGACTAACTCCCTTTCCACAACTACAACCACAAGAGTTGAGAAATAGACGGCTATAAGAATGGTTCTCTCCCCAAACAGCAGCTCAGAATAGCCTCAGTTGCTGACGTGAAAGCCCCAGAGGTGTGTAACATTCCAAGTGTTGCCTCAATCAGTTTGTTTTCATGATCTGAACCAAAAGAACCTTAGAACTTTCCTCAGATGCAGATGTACAACGGCCAGATTGCTTTGCGCGTTTTAACGAACGTATAATAATTATATCATTCTTGTGAACTCTTCAATTTTAATTATTATAATTTTGGTTTTCATATTTTTACCATTTTGAAATTATACGTGAATACTCTTTGAAATGAGTACAATAATACACGTAGAAGTGAATTATTTTAAATGAATAAACAAATATAAAATAAATTAAATGTACTTTGTGAACTTGCATTGTATCATTCTTTTGGGCTCTTCGGTTTCATACGTTAATTTTAATTTTAATTTAATTTTTTTAAATTTTGAAAATATGTAAATGTTCCTTGATGTGCACGTGAATGAAAGATCGGTAAATTGCTCGGAACACAGTAATATAACACTCCAAGTATTGCCTCAAGTGAATTTTATCTATATTTAGCGAGAATGGAGTAGTCATGAAAATGTTTTGTTCTCCCAGCGGTGTAGAAATTCCTCAGTCGCAGATATAAACCATGAAAAGTGTATAACACTCCAAGTGTTGCCTCAATTATATAATCTGTTATCAGTATTTGTAGCAAAAAGAAATAGTCATTAAAATATTTTGCTTCCCGCACAGCGGCTCAGAAAACCCCCAGTTGCAGATGTACAACTTTCAGAAGTGTGCAAGACTCCAAGCGATGGACCAGACGCAGTCAACATCCCTCATAGCGTCAGACCTGTTCTCTGTCTACTCTGGTTGGTTAGATAGATAGATAGATAGATAGATAGATAGATAGATAGATAGATAGATAGATAGATAGATAGATAGATAGATAGGTAGATAGATGGATGGATAGATAGATAGATGGATAGATAGATGGATGGATAGACAGACAGACAGATAGATAGATAGATAGATAGATAGATAGATAGATAGATAGATAGACAGATAGATAGATAGATAGATAGATAGATAGATAGATAGATAGATAGATAGATAGATAGATAGATAGATATATAGATAGATAAATACCGGGTGTCTAAAAAGTTTACCCTATTAAAGGGTAATAACTAGGTTATCTTTAAATTAATAATACCCCCCCCCCCCCAAAGCAACAAACCAACAAATAAACAAACTACTTAGCATTAAAATAAAATTGAGCCAAGATGGCGTACCCGTAGTAAAATTACGTGAATGAAATCAACCAACGTGTTTGCAATACATCAAGATTTTAAAATTTCAACAAAATTTGAGTGAGACGCAAAACTTTGCAACCTTTTAGAATCATTTTACCATAACGCGTACTCTTGATCAACATATAATTGATGTATATATATATATATATATATATATATATATATATATATATATATATATATATATATATACAGCATGCCAGAAGGTGCAATAAACACAAATGTAGGATGAACAAATGCTAGCTAAGAAATAAAAGGATTATGCTGGAAGATTAAATCATATATCACAGGTGTTGACCATTTCACTTCAGACAAGCTCAATTACATTGCTGGAAATTTTGAATAATTCTGTTGCATGTCTCTGTGTCGATTTTATCGACGACCTGTTAAACTTTGGGTTAGGGGAGTGGAGGGTTGAAGGGGGGGGGGGGGTGCGTAGACTCTGTTTTTCCAAAAGCCCCTGGAGAAATAACCGAGGAGGTTCAAGTCGAGCGAATGCTGCGACTATCAGTAAGGAGCTCTCGACTTATAAGACGTTCCACAAACTTTTCTTGTAATTATTCAAGGGCGACTCTTGACGTGTTGGGTGTGCCCCATCCAATCCTACTGGAACCAGGCCTACTATATAGCATTAATCATTCTCCTCACTAAACATCTCCAAAACTTTCTCAGCAAAGTGAAATAGTCATTGGTGGCGTTGGTAGCCCAGTGGTCCGACTTTGTGTCCCTGACAAAGACATTTCCCACGAATTTCCCACTGGTCTCGGTCCTTTCGGAGATGGGCGTTAAACTCATAGGTCCCGCCTCTTAAATAACCTAACAGTATTGATAAGAGCGTTAAACGTATACCCCGCCCCCCCCCCATCCCTAAAATGAAAATAACAAAACACCCATGTGAGGTGCCGGTCTTAGCTTTATCGTCCTTGTCTTGAAACCAGACATTGCCTTTGCAGACGCTTTTAAGAAGTAAAGATTAAAGTTTTATTGAAATTTACCTAAAATGATATTCTTGTTTGGAACATATAAATCAATGTTCTTATGTTGACAAATTTGAGGTAAGAGAGAGAGAGAGAGAGAGAGAGAGAGAGAGAGAGAGAGAGAGAGAGAGATTCATACAATGGACACAAGTTTCAGGTTATTGAAATGTACTAAGCCAAGGAAGCAAGATTATACACACGAGGGAAAATCTGTTTCATTCTTTAACAAGTATACCTACATTATTTATTATTTCTTGCTTTTTTTTCAACATTTATAATTTGATTTTCGACAAAATATTTCTCGAGCACACGGAACCGATATTACACAATGAGACACTACAATCTAAAAAAATAATTAAAAAGAGAAATTGGGCTTATTAGTAGTAAATTTTAACACCAGATCTTTTTTGTTTTTTCTAAAGTTTTACGGCGCTTGCAACTGCCTAAGGCCACGACTCTTTATGTTTCAGGCTTTCATGCAACTGGATTTGATATGAGTTATGACTGTCTCGGACGACGCAGAATGGGAAAAACGATTATTACTTCAGAGCGTGTGAGCACTCTGTCATTTAAAAGGTAAATGGGCAGGTAAGGAGATGGGTGAGAAGGTAGAATGGTAAGTATACAACAAGGTTGGCACTCTGTTTAGTGTTTAAGGCTATTGACCCACATCACATGAAGCATACTATTTTGCAATTACGAGAGACTTTCGGCATACGTCATAAGTGACATAAACTGCAAAACAGTTGTTTTTTTTTAAATCGAGTTATTTCGGTCTTCCTACTGGGATCTAAAAGGACTCTCAGCCCAGGTTGACCTTGCCATACAGGAAACTGAAACCCGTCTTTAATTTACTTTAAATTGATCAAATTTGTGTTGATGGGGGCGTAAAACACCTACATTACACAAACTAAACGGATCAACAATATGTGCCATGACACGGTAAAATTAGGTGCTCGTCAATTTCGGGGCATGTGGAGTTACTGGTATCATCTTAAAGCCTTATTCATTTGTCTTGCATTCAATAAAAAAACAAAAAAACCCAATCCATCAAGAATAGAAGTCGAGATATTTCCGATTGAAGAAGGAGGGGTTCACCTGTTCTCAGAGATAAAATGTATGTCGGGAAAATTGCCACAAAGATTGTAACTTAAATAGCTTGAAAGCCATCGGAAAATGAAAATGAACATATTGTGCACCTTACGTTAACGTTTTTCAGTAAATTCCACTCAGAGTATGTTTTTAAATAGACGTAACAGGTGTTGACCCAAAACACACAAATTTGATAAAAATTACCAAACAGGCGGAATAATACTGTTTACTTTGATTTCATTATTTTGACGAGCGCCTGATTTCATTATAATGCCTCACATAATATTACTGTAAAAAACTTTTTTGGGTTCGACTGTTTCCATTATGCGATACTATATTGAGAGGTAAAACCGTATGAGAAGTCGATCTTCTGGTGTCAAGAACTATAAGTGAAACATCGTTGTGCAATCAAGTGCTTGTAAAAAATAATCAAAACATTTTTCCACCCAATAGACAACTTGTCGACTATCATTTTTTTTTCATTTTTTGCTCAACATTTTTAATGTCCTATTAAAATCATATTTCTGTCTGGTTTTACTGAAACCTGGTGATCAAAGGCATAAACAAATGTGTAACTAAACAGTTTCCGAGATCACTCAAGCTTGGGAAGTCACAAAACTTTGGCGGTCATTCTCTCGCTATGTTAACCTCTGACATCAGACCACATCCACCTTATTATCTTATCTAATCTTTTTTTATCACGAATATCATGAATTTCTCTGCCCCCACCCCTCTCTCTCTCTCTCTCTCTCTCTCTCTCTCACTCTCTCTCTCTCTCTCTCTCTCTCTCTTTCTCCTCTCTCTCTCTTTCTCTCTCTCTCTCTCATCTCTCTCTCTCACTTTCCCTCTCCCCTTCTCTCTCTTTTTCTCTATCTCTCTCTCCTCTGTCACTCTGTCTATCTCTTTCTCTCTCTCTCTCTCTCTCTATCTCTCTCTCTTTCTTTCTCTCTCTCCCTCTCTCTCTCTCTCTCTCTCTCTCTCTCTCTCTCTCTCTCTCTCTCCCAACTCCCTTTTTGATATCTAGTATCTCCGTCTTTCAGCTTAGATAATGTGCCAATGTAGCCAGTATTGAAGTGGCGGGCAGAAAGAAGCAGTCCACTTGCTAAATTTCCACTACTACTACTACAACAACAACAACTACTACTACTACTACTACTACTACTACTACTACTACTACTACTACTACTACTACTACTACTACTACTACTACTACTACTACTACTACTACTACTACTACTACTACTACTACTACTACTACTACGAATATTGATAATAATAATAATAATAATAATAATAATAATAATAATAATAATAATAATAATAATAATAATAATAATAATAATAATAATAATAATAATAGTAATAATAATAACAACAACACCGATAATAAATATCACATCTATAGCGCCCACTTTCCGGTGTCTCTTGACACTTCATAATAAAACAAAATTCAAATAAACGTTCCACGCATCTTGGTCCGTTCAGCAAACAACAATCCTCTCTTATCCATTTCTTTACAGAAACGCCAGCTCTTCTGGTTTCTGGCTGGTCTACGATAGCATTGGGACTGGTAAGTGTTCATCATCATCCGGTGCCTTGCCGACTGGTGTGGGCGATCATTTACCTCCACTTCATTTGGTCTTGCGTTGCAGCGATGGTGTCTGTCGTTCTTGCTGTCCCCAGCCATGTAGTCAGCTTGTCAAATATTGTTTCCCTCAGTCTGCCTCTGCCTCTCTTTCTATCAAACTTGCCTGTTGTTACAAAATCGCATTGTGTGTCCAATGAAATTTGCCTGTCGCTTTCGTGCATTCGTTATAAGCAGTCGTCTGCAAGAATTCTTCATTTGTTTTTCTAGCTGTCCATGGGAGGTGGGTGGGGGAGGGGGGGATACGCAGCATGCGACTTATGAGCCACAACTCTGTCGTCTCAATTATTTCAAGGTGTCTATTGATTGTCCATGCTTCGCACTCGTTTAACAGGATTGGCTCGATGTAACTTTTCAGTACTCTTTTTCTTGTTTCCAGTGACAGATTGATATTGGTAAGGATCTGTTTCATTTTGTGGAAGGTTGCTTTTGATTGGCAAATGCGGGTTTTAATTTCGTCTGATGGTATAATGGTCCCCAAATATTTAAAATATTGTACTTGCTTGATTTTGATATTGCAGGTTGGGACTGGAGTTTTTCTGATTATCAACATTGTTTCAATTTTCTTGATCTTTAGGTTTACTTACTTACTTACTTGTCCACCGTGTTGGGGTCAATGCAGTCGGAACATGTCCATCTCTGCTCTCTCCCCCTCTTCAGGATCCATCCCAGAGTCTGTCTATTTATAGTCTCCATCATGATCTGGTTGGAGATCCGTCGGACTGCTCCGCACAGATGGCTGTGTTTCCCCTCTCCTCTTTGGATCCCCTTTCCTTCAATCTCCCTAGAGTGTGGGAACCGCTATCCGCCCTATTCTTCCTCAAATTTTCCCTTACAGCGGTTAGGACGGTTGGTGGGTCCAGTGTCAAATTCCCTCCCACTTTTGCTTCTCGTTGCCGGTTACCCCCGCATGACCCGGGCAGAAGGTCCAGGCCACACTTCCCATGCTGCTCTCCCTGATCGTATCCTTCCAGTCCACATACAGCATTCCTTTCTGTACCTTCTGTAGTGTGCTCATTGAGTCAGTAATGATTACTGCTCGCTGATGGCTTGTGTTCTTGATCCAGTGGAGAGCTTCACTTTTGGCTTTTATCTCCATACACATACTTGATGTTGTCAGTGCAGTTGCTCCACTTTGCTCTTTCACTACTACCCCATCAACTCTGACACTGAAGGCCCAGCCCGATTTGACTCC